TTATAGTATTTTCATTTTTATAATTGAAAATGTTTTAAGTTTCAGTTCAGAAATATGATTTCTTGCTTCAAATCAAGTTTGAAAATGGAGGTGACATAACCACACAGCCTCCGTTGACTTCTTCATTAAAACTCAATAAAATTGCAATGGGACCTTCTTATATGATCAATTTTCTCAACTTATTATTTGTTAACAATATCCTTCCAACCCCTAAAAAGATCGACAACACATTCATTTAAATGAAATCGAAACCCAAATCAGTTTAGGTAACAAACTTTTTGCTTCAAAATTTGATTGAAAAGTTTACATTTTGGCATTCGTTAGCAATATTTTGAAAATGGCGGCCGATGTCGGAAGTAAACAAAGACACAACATGTATTCATTTAGCAATTAATTAAAAAGTAATTTGTGAAATATTTATTAAAGTGTGTCTTATTGTTTTTAGAAATTTCTTATTTCACCTTTAATTTAATATATTTATTAGAAACAGTCTCTCGCACTCAAAAAAAATATATATTGTAATATATTTACGATGAAAATCAAAAAAACTGTTGGATGCATGCGTTTTCAGTTTTTGTCTTACCTTAAAGCAGTATAGAAATAAAATAGTTTGTCTTTTTTTGATAAAGTGGATACATGCTTTTTGTTTTGATAAAATTTCGAAGTTACGTAAAAAAATGGCGACCAATCAATTTTCAAACGTAGACGATGTTCGACACTAATTTTGCCCATGCAAATAACACAATTTAATTTCACTGTTTATATTGCAATTAAATATGACACGTTATTGTCACTCTAATAATACCCAAGGACATAGCTTGATTAAGGAAATATTAAGTCATCAACGTGATCAAAGAAAACAAACACGGCACCTAATCACGATGTAAGATCATGTAAGCTCGACAAGACTTATGTAGATTAGTATGGTACGATTCTTATAGAAATTTTTTATGGTATTATTTTATATTAATAAAAGAAAACCTCGAAACCCTGAGGTGAAATATCTATATTTTTCAATTTTCAAATTCATTCATCACAAGGGTTACCAGTAAATTTTTCATAATCCTAATTAAACCAGTAACATGCAGAGTTATCGAACGTAATTATGACTGGTATAGTTGCATATGGATTATTGTCTCACCTGTGAGACTTGGTGAAATGTACTGTTTCCATTGTTAGCAGCATCAACAATTTTTCAATTTTTATTAGGTCATACAGGCAAGATTGTTTATAGTCCTTGAATAGTGAAAGCTTCCCATGTATACCATACAGCATTACCGGTACACCAAACATCATTACAACATACACCGTACACCTTTCACCATTCCTGATACACCATACACCAATTTACACATACATCATACACCATTACACATACATCATACACCATTACACATACACCATACACCATTACACATACACCATTACATATACACTCTTACACATACATCATATGTACAAATACACCGTATACCATTCCTGATACATCCCATTCCCCTTTCCCGTTTGAATCATGCATGATTTGCACAATTCAAAATTATAAACAATGTAACGAGTTTGAGAGCATTGAAAAATTCAATAAATCTTTTATGAAATGAACTAAAATTTAAAAATTGGACATCATTCCTCATGCACCATACACTATTCACCATGCACCATACACCATACACCAAACACCATTACACCAGACATGTTTTATTGGAAGTTTTCACCATTCAAGGGCTGTATCTCTGTGTTAAGGTTTTCTTAATTTTCTCAAATACTAACCTATATTGCTCCCTGGAAAATCCTGACTTTAGTAGGAAAGAGAAAGTTATGAGCATATATTTCATTCTAATGAAACAACATAACTGAAGATGAATTCAGGTAGAACAAAATAGAATTGATGATATACGATGCAGAAAAATATTCCTACATCATCACAATGATAATGTTACCACTTCAATGAAATATCTAAATTTTCTTTCTAAAATAACTATAATTTCACCCATCTAAAAAAAATGTCATTGCTGACTGTCATTTTCTAAAATCTTATCTGCTTTGGCTGTAAATAGTTGCATCTTAAAGTATGTGAAATTCTCTCAACCATTCGATAACAAGGAAAAATAAATTGTATCCAAAAATTTTAAGTAACAATGGAATTATATTTGAAAAGATAAAATTCAAATTTCTTTTTTAGGTTTTAATTTATTTCATATTTACATAACTTATGATGTTTCTGTACAAATGAAAAGTTTGAAAAAAAAATATAGTCATACTGACTCAGGGCCTTTTATACCCAATCTTAGATTCTTAAGCAGAATAGTACTTATTTTTTTCTTATTCTGTGGCATTGTACAGTTTGTGATGCTGTCAATTGCTAAGATCTTGCCAGTCTTTGCAGTTTCTTTGTGTGTTACTTGTAGAAATATGCATTAAATCATGAAAACTAATCAATAGAAAAGTACCTAGCTTTACGAGTTTATATGCTCTTTCTGAGGTATTGTGACACTTAAGTATCTTATAGGTAAACAGACATATTAAAAAGTTCAAGGAGCATCAGCAAGAAATTGTTCATCTCTTGATCTGAATACTAAGTTCTTGTATAGTATATAATAATAATGCATGCCAATACAATTTAAACTATGATCCATCTGTTTTTTCATGTAAGAATATAAATCCCTAATATCCAGAGTCAAGGGATATTATATACAAAATTTCATGCAAAAATTCAAGTATGTTTATTTTATAATAACTTTTTACATGGAAATGATAGTCCAGAATATGCATGTAATATTTGCCGCTGGATCATGGACAAGGCAGCCATCACTAAATGATTTTTTCATAGTATTAGACATTGTGAAACTTATTTGAAAAGAGGATCATTTTCTCTGCAGTCATTGTATAGTTGATTAATTTTTTCAATAAGCTTTTAATTTTCAAATATTTGGCCTTGAGCATCACTGAAGAGACATTTTTTGTGGAAGAAATGCGTATCTGGTGTAGAAAAATTGGTAGTGTTAATTCTATTGAATGAGACTTAATGTTTAAAACAGAATTTTTCTTTCTGAGTGTTTTGCCATATCATGTATGAAGTCTTTGACTGATTTGCATGAAATTAACATGATGTTTTATGATTGATGAAAGGGAACTCCCTATAAATTTTGAGTGATTTTGAAATAGTTTTGAATATTTTTCTATAGTTATAGGACATTGTTTGTGTGATAATAATGAAAGGGATTGCTTAAAAAAAGATGTCTGGCTTGGCTAGAGAACATCATGTGACTTAAGAAACTCAATAAGGTTTCATGCCTAAGGATCATTGAAAATTGTGACGTTATTTATTGATTATTCAGCAAAAAAATATTGCTTTCTATGATTGCTTTTGGTTATCAAACCGCAAGATTGTAAAAATAGCTTGATAAATACTGTGAATTACGTCATAAACTTGTTTTCATTGATGTGACAAAAAAGGCTGTTTAGATTTAGATCTTAGCTGTTTTCTACAGCTAATGATCAACACAATTGATCCTCGGTATTTGAATGTTCCATTTGAGTGAATGAATTTGATTCAAGTTATGCAATATCGATATTGCAGGCTGTAGTTTTTAGCTCACCTGGTATAAAGGACCATAGATACAAGACAAATTCGCCGAATTCATGTCTTTTCTAAAATCAACTCAGTTTTTTTTTTTAACAACAGGAAATCATCCTAATTCATGGGATACTAATTTTTCGTGGAATTAATGGTTATAGTTAAACCATGAATTTAAATGTTCAACAACAGACAAATTAGTTATAGGCCTGTATGCAGAATTTGACAAAACCACAAATTCAAATATCCACAAAAATTTAATTTTGCTAAATCCATGAAAATTAGTAACCATGAAAATAAATGAAAACACAGTACTTGTTTTCAAATACCCAGAAATGTATCTTATGTGTGTGTATATTTTTCACATTTCAATTCCAACCAATGATAAGGAATATGATCAAAATGTCATATAAATCTTTTCAAATACCCATTATTTATGTATAATATGTGTGTGTATATTTTTCACATTTCAATTACAACCAATGATAAGGAATATGATCAGTCTTATAAATCGTAAAAGCAACTTATTCTGAATTAAGCAATATAAACTGTAAATTAGATGATCCCAATCAGTGTATATTTTACATATGATAGATGATAATTTTTGTTGGAACTATTATTGTTCATATTGAGCTATGAATACATGTATATTTTACAAAAGAAAGTCAATAACTCCGAGTGGGTGTTATTGTCTCATGCAAGAAAACAATGCCCACACAGTGACACAAAACTCAGTTTAGTGCCTTATGTATTATCAACATTGTCAAATGCATGCTATTTGATCAAAGTGCTTTAGAACTTTTACCCATTGCAGGAATGGATAATTTGCTATATAAGCATCAATTTTTGTTTAGGGTTAAAGTTTTTGGGGTTATCTCTATAATTGTTTTCCTGGATATTACTTCTTGTGGTTTCCGATCTTAAATGTGATTTTTGTTGGGATCTTACAGTAACTTCATGGATAATAACTATCCAACAAAAAAACGAAATCATTACTGCAATAAAAATTCTTTGTTTAGATCTAGAGTTATAAACAGTCATCTAACTATAAAGAATATAGAAGAAGGTTAAAATAAGATTTTAGTATGGATGTGTTAATTATACTAAAAACATTTGTTCTATAAGTAAAGCATCAGTCTGCCATATAGCTTATATAGCCTATAGTATCTCTAAAATTGTAGCACTTGCTAATTAATAGGATATTCAGGGAAAAGATATTCTTTTGGTTGATTTGAAATAATTTTGTTTATTTCACAATATATAACAGATGACCTTTCTGCTCAATTGTTTAGTGTAAACCAAGGACAAGTGAAATTTACAGAGGAAATTGGTAATAATATTTAATGAAACAGTGCATGAAATATGTTATGTCAGTGATAACCTATTTTAAATGTATAGAGTTTAAATATATTGTTTTTGATTTCAGGGGCTGTCAACAGTTTCAGGGTCAGATTCCAAATCGGACTTGTCCAACAACACACAAGACCCCAAGATGGACAAGGTCTATTACGAATATCGGAAGACCTTGATGACAACGTCCCGAGCCAATGATGATTTAGGTATTGATATGGAAGAGGATAGCCTCGGTATGGGTGTCGTTCGTAAAGAAGTCGATCTCACAAATGACGAAAAGCAATATCTTCTAGCCGTGGAAAGAGGAGACATTCCCTCGACACGGCAATATTTAAACATGGGATTACAAACTGGACTAAATATAAACTGTGTGGATCCATTAGGACGTACCGCCTTACTTATCTCTATTGAGAATGAGAATATAGAAATGATAGAATTGTTACTGAGTAATAATGTGGAGTTAGGTGATTCATTGTTACAGGCAATAAATGAGGAGAACGTAGAGGCTGTGGAATTATTACTCAATCATGAGGTGGCTACTAAAGGAGAAGAGGTAAGACTTTTAGGTATTAGACAGATAGTAAGCCATTTGCAAAAATACAGAGTAACTTAATGCAGTGTGACACTACAAATTTAAAAAAAAAAAAAACATGTCTAAGACTCTAATCCATATCTGATCTGAATCCACTGAAAAAGCTTGAAAACGATAAAATTATTCCAGTTTTTATTCAGATTTGCTGTAAGAATGCATTTGAAGGGATATGTCCTTCCTAAATAATTGCTTACATAATTGGACCAAAATAATTTCTTTATATGTAATGGTAAATATTAAGCATTGGTGAGACAGAACAGACAGAACTGCATAAGTTTTCAGTATCACATATTTCCAAATTTATAGCAAAATAATGATTTTTATCATGAAAGTGCACAATTATAACATTAAAGTGACATCAACACTATAGAAAAAAGAATGTGCAAACATTTTGCTGAGTTTGGATTTTTCAGATTTGTCTAAAAAATGTTTATCAAAGATTTAGGATGAATGGTAAACTTAAATTTCATAAAATTTTAGGGCCAAGTTCTAATGTACATACATCAACACTTTGAGAACCTACTCCTTTAAAATAGCGGTTTATTAACATAAACCTCAAGGTCATTGATGCTTCAAATAGTTCAGTTAGGTGAAAAATACAGTATGATATTGTTCCTGAATATCAATATAAGTATGTAGAATACCTGTCACAGTTGCTACATCAGATTAAATCAGATGAAGTTATAAAGAATAATTAACATACGTAACCTTATTGTATATTCTAAAATATCAATGTCAAAAATATTTGATTGTTTTTGGAAAAATCCTTTATCACAAATCCTCATAAGAATGGAAGTGAGTTTTTTTCCTGCATTATTATCAGGTTATGGTACTTATAGTCACTGTATATTTGTAGATTATAGATGGTTTTTCAAAAGAGAAGGTGTATCTCAGCTACAATCTTATCGAAGGGCGCCAGCCCTGAGATGAGATGTGGCCTTGAAACATCCTCGAGTTTGAAAGACCATTGATAATCTGTTTATTGCTATTTTACCTATGATATTTTTCTATCTCAAGCAAGTAGCATGATATGAAAAATTATCACAAAAGAAGATCAAAGGAAAAAAACACAAAATAGCGATAATATGGATTTATTAAATTGTTTACCCTTGTCCTATCTGATGTGAAATTTTTTACTTTTCGTTTAAATCATTGTCTTCACAGGTAAGCAGTACGATTTGGTCAAACAAGATTCCTTTTACGCTAAGATCAAGGGTTTATGAAATTATGGGCTACCAATGACAAATATTATATGAACAAGAAAAGACTAGGATAGTTTGAATAAGTTGTGAATAAGGATGACAAAGAGAGATATGTCATAAATATATTTGAATAATCTTGATTTTAAATCCTGACCAAGGACAAAGTTGGTCATAAGTATGCAGTAATCAGAAAGCAATTATTTCATAGAACGAAAAGGAAAGAAACGTAATTGATATCCCGATTTTTCTTTTTCTATTACAATGGTTGTTTAATATGTATGATTATCTTGATTTCATGGCAGTCAGAAATGTTGTGTCCTCTGCGGAAACTCAAAAGAACTCTATAATAGGCTTAAATATAGGACAGTCTGTTTATAATGGTTCTTACACAAGAGATTGTTTTATAATTAAATGACAAAAGGTTGGTTAATACTTAGGTCACACAAAAATATGTGCGTTTATGGTGTCCTCTTTTAGAAAAGTAAGGCAGGCAAGTTGATTTTTTTTTATACTATTTTGTTTTTACCTTCAGAGTATATGGGGACCACCTGCAATTTATTTTATAAACCTTTCACTACCAAAATAAAAACTTTATGGTTGGAATTTGATGCAAAAAAAAATAGTTTCCCTTAACACAATTATAATTTATATTGGCCTTACAACCAGGAAGAAGGCTTAAGAATTTAGATCTATAGTCCTAGTATCCAGACAGGGAAATGGAGGCATGACATTCATCGACACAGATCTATATGTTATCACAGAAACACAACTATATTCTGTCAAATAAAAATGGAATTGTGATAGGAGGATGCTTGTCATTTGATCTATGATTGATTTATGAAGTTATTATAATCTTTGATTTAATTGGTTTTCGTTCTAGTTCTTTTCAGCAGGATTTACATTTACAGCTAAAACCTGTTTATAAAATACTGGTCCTTAATTTATTTATTGATGGATGTTGGAGGATTTGTAGTTTGTTCTCACAAAAGTTACCGTTCTTGGTAAAAGAATGGGAAGATGCCCAGGTAGCGGGGATTTTAGGGGGAGGGCATTGATAAAAAAAAATATCATAAAATCATCAAAAAAAAAGTTGCTTCCTAAAGCTTGCCAATGTTTTTACCATTTTGATCAATTGCATCCCCAATCTCTCTTAACCCTGGATCTAGTCCTGAATCAATAAGTTGAAGAAAAACAGATGTACAGCTAAACTAAAGAAATAAGTCGAACAGAAGAACACATCCACAAAATACTACACAGAAAAATAAAGATTGAAAAAAAGGAGCTCCGACAAAAACTGGAGACTATAGAACTCAGATGGAAGCATGAAAAACAGTTAATTGAATCACAGTCCATCTTAGTTATCACTATATATATAATGTATGATGAATTCTGGATGTCTACTTTTGTTAAACATTAATTGTGCACATGTTGAGTTGTTGTCTCATTAACATTTACATTTATTCACAAGTTTAATTTTTTTTTTAAAGACATCTGTTGAGCTAGAAAAAACTGTTATGACTGTTAATAATAATTGCAATATTGAATGTGTAATTTGTTTATATGTATAACAAATGTTTAGCCACCTGTCACTCCAGCATTGACCTAGATATCTTTTGTTTTGATATTTGGTCACTTTCAAGCTTTATGCTAAGTTTTCAGAAAAACTTAAAAAAGATTTTGTGAGATATGTAAAAATTTGTCAAATAAGTTTTTACATGTAACAGGAATTTAAGAAATCTTATCTATTGGTAAAAATGATAGTAGCCATTGTAAGTGCCAGACAAAATTAGACTAGTCAATACCAACTTTTGACTGGATTTCATAATTTTTCAACAGGTTACCTAATCTGTGGTAGGACATCCTGGTACTTGGTCAAGTAAGAGCAGCCTTAAGAAGTAAAAACAAGCTTACGATCCATACAATTTAGGGGGAAAATTAACTGTTTTATGTTTTCTACACATGGCAAAGTTATTGGAAAGCAGTAAAATTTTCCCCCAAAATGCACTGATTCTATGTTTTATTTTACTTCTTTTGGTTGCTCCTACTTGACAGGGTACCAGGATGTTCTACCACAGATTAGATAACCTGTCGAACAATTATATAATGTGGGGTCAAAAGTTGGTATGATGAAAATAGTCTATTATAAAATGAAATTATCATGAATTTAACATTTTCTAATAAAAATGGATCTGTTTTTACTGCCACTTAAAATCATTCATTGTATGAGTCTGACATTCCTTAAAGGAATGGGTTCAGATTTCAGCTGATCAAATATTTTTTTAACCATTGATTTTCTGATATGAAAGCACATAACGTCTTGGACATGCAGCATAGCAAATATGACTCTTCCATAAGATACATCAGTACTGCATAAATATTGGTACACATTTTATTACACAGTCATTTGACATCAGTAAATATGTAATATAGACACCTTTTGTAGCCAACTGTACGGTATGGGTTTTCTCATTGTTGAAGGCGAACTGTTGCCTATAATTGCTTACAGTCCATTTCATTTGAACTCATGTGGATAGTTGTCTCATTGACAATCATACCACATCTCCTAATTTTTATACCTGTACATTTAGTATAAGTAAAGATCATTTATTTAAACATTGAAAATTTACATCACTGAAACCAAGGATATAATTTGTGTTTACAGTAATAAAAATCCCATTTCGAAAACCTGTTGAAATTTCCTGTTGTAAGATCAATCTTTAAATTGAAGTTAGTCCTTACCTAGAGGATGATTGACTAGTTTATTAGTGGTTTTAGAAAGTCCTTTTATTACCTGTTTTGTGCACATTAACAGCTTTTAACTTGATTGGTTTAAAGAGTAAATAATACAGTAATGGTGATTGATGTCTTGGAAATGAAGGTTGTCAAATATCATCTCCTCGTTAGGAACTTTTCCACTTACGAATCCTGCTATATCTTGTTCCAATGAATCTAGGAGTACAGAAAGAAAATGGCAATATAACTGATAAATGTAGTTAAGTGTCACAAGTTTACATTTCTTGTCAATTTATTCAATGTATTGTTTAGGCAAGGAAATGCTTACTTCTGCTCTGTTGCGTAATATCTTTTCTGTTTTTCTAATTGCAAGGCATTGTAATGGGTTCAGTGTAAACAATCGTTAAACGTACTCAGAATTGTAAGAGTATAATAAAAGGTTCATGAGTACTTTGTAAGTAACCTGTCATTATAAGCAATAATTGTTAGTTTGGAGTGGTGGAAATATGTATTCACTTAATTCTTAATTTTTAACAAGCCCTCCATCCTCCTTATCAAATTTTGTTTAGAACCATAAGAAATGTTTACCAAGCTGACCAGAAGATTTTTTATTCGAAATATTGATAATTTCTTCAATTATGCTATATTTTCAAACTGTTCAATAGTTGTGAAAGTATGAAAATTTACAATTTCTTGTCCTGTGTCTGACACATTGTTTTCAAATTTCTCTTGTACTATTTCAAAGTTTTTTTCTATCATTAATGATTTGACTTTTAATTTTGTCAACAAATCAATTCCTTTTAGTATTGTATCGATCTCCAATTATTAATAGTTTGATGGAGAGTCATTTAGAGAAATCTACTGCTTTGGGAAAAAATTAACCTCTTGAATGTTGTTGATAAAACCATTAATTTTGTTAGGACTATTTCATTTAGGCAAGTAGAAGAAATTATGCTAGATCTAATTGTCTGTAGGGTATTTTGAATCAAATCAAGATAATATCACTTCCTGCATGGTCTTCTGAAG